TAGGGAAAGACTCTGCAGCACATATGTCTTGTCAAACATGAGAGAAAATGGTAGAAATGGTTTTATGAGACAGACACAGCATGAAAACCATAGCAATGGAAAAAAGCTTGGCATGATACTTAAACTAGAAGATGTAAATTGTGCATTATTCTGTGAATGGGTTCTTATCAAAATAACGGTTTTTAGGTGTTTTAGTTCTATATGTGCTCCAGTTGTCACACCAAGAATGTATGTCGTGCGGCTCCTGCAGATGAGGGGGCTGCGAGAGGGAAAGGAATGCAGTGCTACAGAATCCTCTGTCAATCCGCCCCTGCATGCAAACCATTACATTAACATAGCTTATTGTCCTTCCTGTTTCTGCATCTGTGCTGTGGATTGTAGTATCAGTATAGTTAAAATGCTTAACTTACTGGTATGTATAGGTCCTGACTGCATGTGCCACGGAAGTAGTTTTTGCTCTTATGCTCACAAGAATAGTTAACCTGGGTGTCTTGGACAGTGTTGCTTCCTTATCCGCCTGTTTTAATGTCCATTAATGCAGTTCCACCCACCCTAGAGATGTGGCATTGATATTGCTGTTGTGATATAGCTACGTCTCAGTGGTAGGTAAATATTTCTTAACCTAATATTCTGAGACCTCATTAAACAAAAAAAAAAAGATAATAAAACTCTAAGTTAAATGTGAGAGCAGGATCTTTTTTTTTTTTCCTAAACCCAACTTGCTATGCTTGTTAGTGTTTCCTGGGAGGTGGCTATAGAGCTACAATATAGGTTATATACCTTGAGTTTGTCTCTTGGTAAAACACCAGTCACCTTACTAATTGGTATTTGAGACACCCTAAGTGATGTTCAGATCAGTTTCCAAAAAAATCAAGGCAGGGAATAGAAGACTGGGAGAATATTAAGCATTTTGTCTCTGATAGAAGCAAGTGTTTGGAAAACAGAAGTATGACGGCTTAAAATTGCTTCTATCTCATTCTGACTGTGAATACTTTTTTGCGTAAATGTATTATTGAAAGAGAAAGACACAAATTATATAGAATCATACTGTACTTCTTCAGGCACAGTTGATCTTCAGTAGCACAGACATAAAGCCCTTATTACCGCAAAAATGACTGTATTTCATTTAAAAAAATAGTTCTAATCTATGTAATGCTTTGCTGTGTGCTGGATGTGCACCGCATCATCTTGTTCAACTTGTTATTTAAACTGTGTGCACTCAAAAGCATAATCATTTTGAGGTATTGTTACTAGAGTAGCTGTATCTCAGCTGCTATCCAGTTACAAGCAGCAAACTTCTGCCATTAAAGCTGTCATCCAGCCACCATTGGCTGCCTTCTGGTCTGACAGGTTGGGTCTCCTCCCTCTGTCTGCACATGGTCTGCAAGGTCTCAGCTGACATCCTTTACAGCTATGGCAGCCACTTCAGGCTCCAGGTACCCCAGTTTCCCCCAGCAGCCTAGACCACACCTACTGACACAACATCATGAGGAATTTTTCTCGGAGGCTGCCCGTGCTGATTCTCCTTATTAGTAAATCCGTATGACTGCAAGCGTTACTGGCTGGAGTTTTCTGTTCATTGCATGGCCAGGTGAGTCTGTACAAGCTGTGGTGAGTCTAAGAATGGAGGTAGGGGAGTCATGTCTTTCCAACTTTACCGTCATTCCCTGTTGTGTGTTGCTTTCTTCAATCTTTTTTTCCAAAGCAAAACATCCAGTGTAGTCTTTTGCTTAGAATAACATCACTGTCTCCAAACTTGTAAACAGTGTTTGAATATGAAATATATAAAAATTAGTATATTCATCTCTCTAGGATGTTATGTAAGTAGTTGGCCATTCATGAGATTCACTCTGTTAATATTCATTCTCCCGTGGGTTGTGTTTTGTTTCAGTATGTTGTGACACCGAGACGGCAGTCTACAGCTATTGCCCTGCAGATTTTGGTCAGCCATTTGCTGGGAGATGCAGGCAGCCCATATCTCATTGGGACTGTAAGTGAATTCTCTTTCCTTTGGGTAAAACTGTTAGAAACTGAAAGACAGAGACGCACAGAAGTGTAGGCACTTCCTGGTCCAAAACTAGAAATTACTCAAATTGGCGGCCTTGATACTAGAATACAGAAAGACATTTTCTAAACATTTTTACATGCACACAACTTCTGGTCTTGTGACACTGCAGGTACGTAGAATATAATAGGTGTGAGTAGTTCCATGCAGTGCGTGGAAATTTATTGTGATTTTAAATCGGCAAACTCATACATTTTTGAAGGCATACATTTTTGCAATGACAGTGACATGGGTAGTGTACTCGGATTTAAGCACTTTCTGCTAAGTTTGTGAGGATCTTCATGGTAATTAATCAAATACTATTTTATATCTTGAAACCTAAAACTCTTAGTTCAAATCTGAAGGTTTGAAACCTTGCAGTTAATCAATGCTCTCTTGAAAATCAGAACAAGAGTGACTGCAGTGGTTGCCTTTTGATACTACTTGGCATTCAAAGCTCTGGTCTCAAATTACCTTAACCTTGGATTCCCATATTTCTTGAGACCCAATTTCTTTGCCCTTCCTCCATTTACTTGATCTTAGGTGCTTCTGGACAAAGCAGCCTAGCACTGTTGTCTCCTTGCAGTTGATTTGGTTTAGTTCCAGTGGATGATATCTGTCAGTGTTGTTTCCCTCCTTCATTATTTTTGATTGAAGACACAGTAATTGTGCCCACTGTAGCTAACTTTGAATTTTCTGCTTTACTGGACATGAGAGAGCAAGTGAGTTGTTGTTGTTGTTGTTGCTTCAAAGTTTTGTTTATATGGAAGTTTATTTTAAGAAGTTCACCTCAGGAGTATCTGTTCTTCCCTTGTCACACATGAACAGTGTTAGTGTTAGGACAGAAATGCCCGAGCAAGCTGTGCCTGCGGGTCCAGCCAGACAGGAGATCCCCCTTGTCCTCCACTGGGTCAAAACTGGAGTCTCGACTGTGTAATCTGTCTGGCAGAGGACAGTCCTCTCGCACTGAGAGATTCCTCTGGCTGGCGCTCGGTTTTTGGCAAATGAAGAGATCACTTCGCTCATCGGTGTGCATGATGAAACTGTTGCCCTCACACTGATTTGGCTGTATGCATGGGGAAACACAAAAACCGGCATCCCCGCATCATGAAAAATGGCTGAAAGGATATGCAAAAATGGGAGGTATCTTGAAGGCTGAAATATGTCTCGTACATTCTCCCTTCTTTGACTGTTCTATTGATTTATGCTTTCTGCCTAAAAGATGAAAATGTTTGTATCTCTTACTGCTGTACTTTGCCACCTTTGAGGCACTACCTTGCATGCAATTGCCTTAAATAACAGCTAACTGAAAAGTGTGAAGACAAAAAAGCTTATCCAGGTGAGGTTACCCTTAGGTGACCTTGCAGCTTTGCAAAGAACAAAGACAATACATCCAGGAATAAAACAGCTGTATGTCCAAGTGGGGTCCTGTGCACTGAGCGCAGCATTGTGTTCTGGAATGTTTCTGTGAACCGATACACTAATGCTGCCCATGTCGCTGTTGACTGAACACCACATATCTTCTGCATTCATGTCTTGGTGTTGTTCACTAACCTGCTTCAGCTGACCCTTTAGCTTACAAACTGGCTGGAGAGTCAAGTAATAGTCTTTTTCAGAGTCTGTTTTTCTTCCTTCTGCACTCCACAGATGTTCTTACTAAGCATTTTAAAATCAAACGCATTAGGTTTGTATTTTGGCCGTTATGCTTGCTGTAGTCTCTAGGTGCCCATTTAGAGTTGATCTTGCTCTTATCTGCCTAAACTGTCATAAATAATCATACTGAACCCAGCAAAGGGTGAAGAGTCTCATACATGTGTATTTCAAGTCATGTAACGTATTCTAACCACCAAGAACAAATGTGGGTATAAAAATGGCTGCATTCAACATTCATCTTTTTGTTTATGCTAAGAAGAGATTTGAAGTTCCTGGGTTAAATATTGAATCTTACTGAGTTTCTTGAAATTGGCTTTTCTTTCTACAAAAATAAAATTCATCTGTATCACTTGCAGCTTTTGCAACCTCATCCTACAGCTAGTGCACAAAGCAGCTGCCTCTTATCTTCTTCTTCCCACTTCCTCATAATGTCACTCCATGACTCCTCAAATGCCTTTTGGCTCAAGAGCAGACTCCACTCCTATCTCTCATTAATTTCCAGCTCTTCCGTTCCAAGTGTTGCTACTTGTGCCTGTGTTGATGCTAATCCCCTGTTTTTAGCTATTTGATGCTGTTTAGGGATGAATAAAGTTATCAAATAACATCAAGAAATGGTAAAGGTCATTGCCAAATGTCTGTCCAGTGCTAGCTATCTGGAGATGGGCTAGAAAATGGTGACATGAGATAATGTTTACTGAACATTATAAACATCGGTCGCAGTGTTTCCTACTCTTGTGACTGGAGGCACTGTAGGGTAAAGGAACATGAGATTCCTTGAACAAGTGGAAGCTGGACAGCAGTGAAGTACAGGTGTATTGGGTCTGACAAACTAGCAGGCTTTTCGTCCTCATCTGACTAGTTTTAATCTTTTTGAGGACCACTGTACACTGTAACAGTCTGCTTAAACCAAGAGAGGATGATGATGTTATCCTGGATTAATGACAGCCTTGTTCACTCCCTAGATCGCCCATGCTATCCAGGCCAAGAACGCTCACTCATTGCAGTGGAGTTTCTGGAGCATGCAGTACAGCTTCATCCTGTGTGCTTTTGTTGGCGTCTTTGGAGGAGGTTTTTTCCTCCTGACATCTTTCTACATTGAGGAAGATCGTAAGGAAGCAGAGCGGGTTTGAGGTTTCTGTATGTCTTTGTAACTTTTAAACCTGTATCTGATGGCTTTCCATTTGTACACCAGCAATGATACTGGCTCTGTAAAGTTAAAACACTAATGTCTGCATTATGTCAATACCACATTAGTTTTTATAAAAAACATAAAGGCAAAATCCCAGCGATGTCTCAGATTAAACAAAACTCTCATACTGGGCAAAAAATGCTGCAGTCTGTGGAGGTAATGAAACAGCTTTACTGTAGGTAATGCACCGTTACAGACTTCATGGAAGGTGCAGTTCTTTTTCCACTCTGCTCTTTCTCAGCCAAGTAGAACCAGTCCTAGTTCTCTGTAATGCTTCTCCCTCTTCCCTGAAAGAAGTCATATTCAAAGTGTAAAAGACTTGAAGAAAATCTGTTGAATTGGACAGAGCACTGTCCTTAATAACCCAGATTCTTACAACTTCCTTCTGCTCTGACTTGGTTTTCTAGGCACCAGAATGAATGCTGTCTTTCAAATGAAGATGAACTCTGGGGCAAGATCTGCAAAGAAGAAAAGAATGTCTTCCTCTTTTTCTTTCCTTTTTGCTTAATGAGATACAGCTAGAGAAAAGGCCAGATAACAATTCCTCCATATGGCAGAAAATCCTGCGTACTGACTTTTTTGGATACTTTTGACTGTGAGTCAAAAATTGCTACTGCATTGGCATATGGCAACCCGCCCCCATCTGCAAAACAGGCATGAGTACTGTGCGGAGCTGGAGAGCTCCAGAAGGTAGCGTGTGGAGCTGTCCCAGGCACGACTGCTAACCTAAACAGGGCAGTAGCATTTAAGGCAGAATGTCTCACAGAGGTTAGGAAGGTAGACCTACAAATTCTCAGCAGGATAAGATTTGCCTGTAGAATTTGGAAAATATAGATAGCACAAAAATTGTTTTCAGTCATCTGAAATGATGAAGAGAAGCAGAAGCTGCCAAAGTCAGTGTCAGATTCAAGAGTGGAGGGTTGTGATCATCTTATATGTAATATGTTAACGGCCTCTTTATAATCCACTGAGGCTCCTCAGGCCTTGGGTATCTCCTCTGATGAGCGAACAGTAGTAGCTGTAAAACCACTTAAATATAACTATCCATTTGAACTCCTGTCTCTAAAGTGCGTAAGACTTTGGATGTGGTATATGTTGTCATAACACCACGCCAGGTGCCAAGCAGGACATGATTCGCGTGGCCAACTTCCATTGTTTGAGGTGTGGTTGTTCCCAACAGCACCTTAAAGCCAAAGCTGGAGGAAGATACTAGCAAGTGGGTTGTGAAGTATTCTGAATCCTGCCTGAGTCTCCCAGTAAATTACAAGGATCATAAATCACAATATTCCTGTAATGACTGTGAATATCTAATGTCATTATAAATAGTATAATTCAGCAGTTGCAGGTTTTTGTTTCTGCCTCTCTCTCTCATTTTTAAAAAATCTGTTCTGAAACCTGACTTAAACCCAGGTAGTGAAATTTGGCCAGAGCTTATGCCATTATGGGAAATAATGGAGAAACCTTTTTTGTGATACTCAGTAAGAGTGTAAGAATTGTCTTTAAAATAAAAGTGGGTATTCTGAAAGACTGAGCAACTTCTTCTGGTTGTAAAAACTAGCCAAAGCCATTATAGCACCGACCTGTTGGAAATTCATGTGGTGCCAGAGAACCTATGTCCAACAAGGGATTTTTTACTATTGGGTATGGACACATCAGCTTGTAGAGGTCCTAAGTGCTTGTCTTCACATTTTCAGGATACTTTTTAAGCTACCTGGTAGCAATGTTTGCATTGAAGCCTCTTGCTTATATTCAGCAGACTTGATGAAATTCGTAGCATTTGTCTTCCAGCTAGAGGGAGAATGATTCGCTTCGCACCAGTGCCTCGTTGTAGGATGAATTTGGGAGGTCTAAAAACATTCTTTAAGGCCTTCTCAACTCACTGCACACTTGAGGCTGAACTTGCATGAGCCTGAGACTCATCTGGTACGCTGTTACTGCACCACCTGTGCTGTTTGACGATAGCCAGACGGCTCTGGCAAACAGCTGCTTTGTCAAGAAGTTAAACTGTGTGGTGAGGTGAAATTCACCCCTGCAGTACATTGTACAGCAGTACCTTCACTAGATACCATTTACTGTCACATCCCTTTATGCCCAGAAACTGACAGAAGTGTTCTGTGACAAGAGTGCATTGGTATTTGAGGCCATAAAATTATTTTGATTTTGTTTAATTCTATATTTGCTGGTGACAAAAGTGCTTAGTGTTTTGTCAGAATTTCTCAGAGGCTGCATATAACCTTATCTCCATAAAGATTTGCGTTGTGCTTCAAGTCTCTTGTACACAAGATATAGACGTGTATTTTGTACAACCTAATCCTGGAATTGTCTGGGGATATTGGTACTAGGTAAGGATTTGGGTTTGGGAAAGAATTGATTTTGCAAGGTAACCTGATACTATGAAAGGTGTTGAGCTTGGTTTACAGAGCTCTCAGGATCAGTAATAGAATCACAAGATGCCACCTCTGCTGCCAGATTCTAGAGAGAGGGCTTGCAACTGCTAAACCCATTGACATCTGCAAACCAGATGCCCCCAACACCCCAGCTGACTCCTTGAAACTCAGGCAGACAGGCCAAGATCTTGAGAATTATTTTTCCCATTATTCAGCTATGGTAGGATTTAAGCAGCTTGACAGTACTTCTCTGCTGCTATGTTCATGATTTGCCCTGCAAACAGATGATCTGTTTATCACTTTTGTTAAGTCAGCATTAAATTCTTCTTAAAAAAAATCAGAAACTGTATCTGGAATACTGCGGAGGCACGCATTTGACATATGAGCAAGACATGCCAAATGCTGTTCTGTAGACGGTACATGAAGTCCATGACAAACTCATTCCTACTCCTACTCTTATCTGCTTTGTGAGAGTCAGCGCCTAGAAATTAGCAGGATCGTGCTGACTAGCTCAACTCCATCTTTTCAGATGCTGCTCTCTTTCCTTTGCAGTGTAAGGGGAGAGGACTTTTATTTTTGTTAAATTTTTTTTCTGCATTTTAGCAAGACTAACACCCAAGCCAAGAGGTTAGATGCTCTGAGCTGTGCCTGGGCTTCCCTGGAGCTGTGTTGTCCTCTGTCTTGCTGAGAACTGCTGACTCGGAGGCCAGGCAAAGGTGCAGTGCCTGTGTGAAACGGCCCTGGGAGGCTCTGCCTCCAAAGCAGGGAAACTGTTTCCATCATCTGTTTGGCTCTGTGTCTTAAATAAAGGTAAAGCTTCCTCACTAGGATATGTAAAAGGAGCAGAATTTCTTAAAATGTTTTGTACATCTTGAATTTGCTTCTGAGCAGGTGGCACTAAATTCTGCACTCAGGGGTTAACACAACAGGTTCTTAGTGCTGGCGGGGGCCATTGTGCGCCGTAGCTCTTTAAGACACTACCCTTTCTGCATGCCATCAAAAACCTCTGTCAGAGAAAGCCGTGGAGTCCTGTCACAGGGCCAGGAAAGGAACAGAAGTTCTCTTTAGGCATCAGTTCAAATACCAGTTGTGGTATGGTTCCAACTGGGAAGACGTAAGAAAAAACGCAGGGCTTAAAGACATTATTAAATTTCCCGCTCTATCTGGATTGGAGAGAGCTGCTGCTGGAAGCTGCTGGTTACCGAGGGAGTTCGTTCCACAGCATTCAGACTGCTTGGAATCGGTGTCTCTTGCATCAAATGAATGACAATCAAACAAGTTGACAAAACTTGTATTTTCTGCAGCTGTTCATATATTCTCCTCCTACCTTTAACATTTCTTCTTTGCTCTTCCCAACCCAAACAGTGTGTAAGAGGCACTTTGGAACAGCTCCAAAAGGTGAGATTTTGTAAGTCCATTCAGGTAATGATTTTGATCTTTTCCTCCCCTTCCTTCATTCCCCAAAGCAGGGACAGGTGATTGGTACTGACCTTTAGTGTTTATGTGGGTATTTTTTTAAAGAGGTTGTAGAACTCTTCTTAGCATAAAAATTGTCTTCAGAGTCGTAATTATTTCTAGCTTCTGCTAAATGCCTGTGAAGTCCTCGAGTGGCCAGGACGTGTCTACGATACAACAGTACCATGGTGTGTAAATGCTTCTCCAGAGTGACTCCTTCCACCAGTGATGTTGTGTGAGACTGCTGTCAGCAGAATTTTAATTGTCAAAGACGTTTCATGTAACTTTTTCTTTCCCTCCCCTTCTCCTTCCCAGACAAGTAGCCCTGGGCACTGCTCCTGAAAGGGGTTTCACAGCACCTAAGAAATCTTTCTGTACTGTGGCTGCAGGTGCGCAGATGGCAGACCACAGCTTTCCTGGCTGCAGATTTATATAGTCTGTCTAGGCTGCTCCCTCCTAAGAAGATTTGTGTTTTATTCCTCTTTGCCCTAATCACTTGTGTGACTGAATTGTCTTTTGCAAAATATTTTGCAGAACAGCTGTGATCCTTTATAATGCTACTGACATAGCCACGGGTGTCAAAAGCATCATTTAGCTTCAAAAACAGGGTTCAGGGTTGCTGCTGTCATTCTGAGGGACCTGTGCTGAGACTGGATCAGTTCCGACAGCACCAGCCCTGAGGGCTGTGTTAGTAACTCGTTCCTAATGTCCACTGAAGAAGACTTTATCACCTCCATTGCTGGCCTGTGTCAGTACTCCATCAGTGAAGACTTGGCAGTTTCCCTCTACTATTCTGTTGCAGAATTCTGTCTTGCTCATCTCTCCTGTGCTTGTCTTCCCTTCTACTCCATCCATTGCCTAGTGACTAGAGATTCACCTAGTCCCTTTACCATTAGGTATAGATGTCCTCTTAGTTTAGAATCTGTAGAATAATTCACTGATTCCTGTTTGGAAAGTGAGCTAAAAGAAGCAGACACTGTCCACCTGACCATAACATAATGTGAGTACAGAGAGGCCAGATCAGCCAAATCAATGCTGTCGCTGACATTAGTTTTTTCTCAGCAGTAGATCCACCATCTCTGCTTTTTTACCTCCCCCTCCTCACATTAAAATGCAGATGCAATGTCTGTTGAAATAAATCCTGAAACAACTAATTTTAAAATCTGTCATTATCCCAAAACCTTTATGACAAAAGTTTTCTTCAGAAATCCTTGGCTATTTTGCAAACAT